ATTATTATTATTATTATTATTATTATTATTATTATCCGCCTTGGGTATATTATTATTCTTGTATTATTATGATGGTATTATTATTATTGTTGTTGTTATTATTGTGACTATCTCTAAAAGGCTCCCATTTATCATACCCAAGCTTTTCTCGCTCCAAGAAATAAGCCCAGAAAATGTAGGATCCATAAGTCGGAAGAGACTCTAAAGGTCATCTAATCCACCCCTTTCTCCGTGCATTTATCTCTCCGAGAGATAGACCCAGGAAATACCTGAAAACAGATAGATATTATTATTTCGTTAATGGCGATTTTTATGACAGAACCAATGAGGAACTGCCATTTATAACGAAATTTTGAAAGTTTTGTTAGAGTGCTGAAATTTTCACCACCGGAACTTTAGAAACACTTTAGAAGCAAAGCACTCTCATTATTATTTCATTATTGGTGAAATAATAACAGAAAATACCTGTATATAGATAGGTAGATGGGACCCTAAAGGCCATCTAGTCCAACCCCTTTTCATGCCTATTTGGATAAATAGATAGGACCCCAAAGGCCATCTAGACCAGCCCCTTACCATGCCTACTTGAAGATAGATAGATAGGACCTTAAAGGCCATCTCGTCCAACCTTTTATCATGCCTACTTGAATAGATAGATAGATAGATAGATAGATAGAGATAGATAGGGTCCATAAAGGCCATGTAGTCCAACCCTTTACCATACCTTTCTCCAACAAAGATACCCCCACAATATCTTTCTACCTATGGGTCCCCAAAGGACATCTAGTCCAACCCATTTTGTTGTCTACTTGAATAGATAGATAGATAGATAGATAGATAGATAGATAGATAGGACCCTAAAGGCCATCTAGACCGGCCCCTTACCAGGCCTACTTGAAGATAGATAGATAGATAGATAGATAGATAGATAGGACCTTAATGGCCATCTAGTCCAACTGTTTTCATGCCTACTTGATTAGATAGATAGATAGATAGATAGATAGATAGATAGATAGGGACCCTAAAGGCCATCTAGTCCAACACTTTACCATGCCTACTTAAATAGATACATAGATAGACAGAAGAGACCCTAAAGGCCATCTAGTCCAACCCTTTACCATGCCTTTCTCCAACAAAGATGCCCCCAAAATATCTCTACCTACCTACCTACCTACCCCAAAGGCCATCTAGTCCAACCCATATTGATGTCTATTTGAATAGATAAATCAATAGACAGAAGGGACCCTGAAGGCCATCTAGTCCAACCCTTTACCATGCCTTTCTCCAACAAAGATGCCTCCAAAATATCTATCATCTATCTATATATATATATATATCATGTGTCTGCCTGTCTACCTATGTTATCCATCCACCCATGTACACATCTATCCATCCATCCATCCCACCCCACATCTATCTATCTATCTATCTATCTATCTATCTATCTATCTATCTATCTATCTATCTATCTATACGTCTGTCTGCCTGTACGTCTGTCCATCCATCCATCCATCCATCCATCCATCCATCCATCCATCCATGTACATATCTATATCTATCTATCTATCTATCTATCTATCTATCTATCTATCTACCTATCTATCTCCCTACCTACCTATCTACCTATATGGTTCCCCAAAGGCCATCTAGTCCAACCCATGTTGATGTCTACTTGAATAGATAGATTGATACACAGAAGGGACCCTAAAGGCCATCTAGTCCAACCCTTTTTCATGCCTTTCTCCAACAAAGAGGTTCTAAAGTATTTACAAAACTAGAGGGCGCTGGTGCTTTGCTTCTAAAGTGTTTCTAAAGTTCTGGTGGTGAAATTTTCAGAACTCTAACAAAACCTACCTATCTATATGGGTCCTCAAAGGCTATCTAGTCCAACCCATTTTCATCCCAACTTGAATAGATGGACAGAAGGGGCCCTAAAGGCCACCTAGTCCAACCCCATGCCCTCTGTTTCTCTTTCCAGACCCCCACCCCACCCCACCCCCTGGTATGGGAGGCATTCCCTCTCTCTTGAGAGCGAGAGAGCGAGCGAGAGCCATGCCCTGACCGTGTGTCTATTTGCAGAAGGTGTCGCCTTGATTTCCCCTCCGGAGGGGCTAAAATTAGCGGGGAGAGAGAGAGAGAGACACCTCCGAGGCGCCTGGGCTTTTGGGAAGGGGACCCTTGAGTGGGGAATGTGCCAACCAGTAGCCGGATGCGCTCACCACTGGCCAATGGGAGGGCCAGGCATGTGGGGCAAGGGCGCAGGGGGTCCGGGAGCCGAGTTCGAGGTGACCTCTCCTCCGGTCCACTCGATAAGGAAGGGATCTTGACAGTCTTTGGCGCTGAGGTCATGGCCGTGGATGATGGAGATCCCATAGGCCAACGTGCAAGCGGTCCTCGGTATCCACTCAATGAGCTTTCTTCCCCTTCTCTTCTTCCTCCCAAGAATTTCCCCAAAACAGAATTCGGAAATGCTTTAACAGCTTCATACGTGGGCCCGAAATGTATACAAAATGTGTTGAATAGGAGTGTAATAATAGGGAGCGGCATGAGCTTCCGCTGTCAGCCCTAGCTTCTGCCAACCTAGCAGTTCAAAAACATGCAAATGTGAGTAGATCAATAGGTACCGCTCCGGCGGGAAGGTAACGGCGCTCCATGCAGTCATGCCGGCCACATGACCTTGGAGGTGTCTACGGACAACGCTGGCTCCTCGGCTTAGAAATGGAGATGAGCACTACACCCCAGAGTCAGACACAACTGGACTTAATGTCAGGGGACTACCTTTACCTTTACCTATGTATATGTATATAGAGTATAATAGTAGTAGTAGTATATAATAATAATAATAATAATAATAATAATAATAATAATAATTTTAAAAAACTTTATTTGTACCATCTCCCCAAGTGACTCGGTGCGGCTTACACGTATATACATATATGTGTTTATGTATATACGTGTGTGTGAGTATGTGTGTGTGTATAATATTACTATGTGTGTATATGCACTCAAGGACCTCTAATGTATACATACATACTGAGCACTGAGCTGCTGAGCTTGTTGATCGAAAGGTCGCAGGTTCGATTCCGGGGAGCGGCGTGAGCTTCCGCTGTCAGCCCTAGCTTCTGCCAACCTAGCAGTTCGAAAACATGCAAATGTGAGTAGATCAATAGGTACCGCTCCGGGAAGGTAACGGCGCTCCATGCAGTCATGCCGGCCACATGACCTTGGAGGTGTCTACGGACAACGCTGGCTCTTCAGCTTAGAAATGGAGATGAGCACCACACCCCAGAGTCAGACATGACTGGACTTAATGTCAGGGGACTACCTTTACCTTTTTATGTGTATGTATAGGCATGTATTTGTTTGTGAATGTATATATATGTTCATGTATATGTGTATTTGTGTGCATGTGTATGTAAATATATATTTATATTGAGTGTTATATTAGTATATGTATGTATGTGTGTATGCATGTATATATGCATGTGTGTATGTATATGCATGTGTATGTAAGTGTGCATGTGTATGTATACATATATTTATAGAGTATGTGTATATGTATGTGTATATGCATGTACATGCATGTGTATATGCATGTATATGAATATAGATGGATATATGCATGTGTGTATGTGTGTGCATGTGTATGTATATATATCTATATAGAGTATATTAGTACACACATATACATATACACACATACTAATATATTCTATATAAATGTATATACATACACACATGCACATACACATATACACATACATATACATATATACACACATACATATACACACATACTGACATTATACTCTATATAAATATATATACATATACATACATGTGTGTATATGCACGTGTGTATGTATGTGTATGCATGTACATGTGTGTGCAGAGTATAATAGTATGTGTGTATGTATATGCGTCTGTATGTATATGTATATATGTAAGTGTATGCATGTGCATATGTATATATATGTATATTTATATAGAGTATAATGTCAGTATGTGTGTATATGTATGTATGTGTATATGCATGTATATGCATGTATATGTATACATGCATGTGTGTAAGTGTGTGCATGTGTATGTGTATATATATGTATATAGAGTATATTAGTATGTGTATATGTGTGTGTATATTCACGTGTGTATGTATGTGTATGTGTGTATATGTGTGTGCATGTGCATATGTATATGTATGTGTATATACATTTATACAGAGTAGAATAGTATTATGTGTGTATGTATATGCGTGTGTATGTATATCTGTAAGTATATGCATGTGTATATGTATATGTATGTATATTTATATAGAGTATGTCAGTATGTGTGTATATGTATGTGTATGTATATGCATGTATATATGTATATTTGTGTATATGTGTGTATGTGTGTATGTATGTGTATATGTGTGTATAAATATATGGGGAAAGCAGCACTTCAGATCTTGGGAGTGCATATTAGTGTTAGAACCCTTTGTGCCATTTGTCCTTTCAAGTTCGGACTCAAACCCAGAGCAGGCCTGCCTCCCTTCGGAGACTTTTCCGGGAAACCGAGTCTCTTTTTGGTATGGCTGTTGAAGTGTGAACACCGCCGTGTCCGTGCGCGGCCTTATCAGGGTTAGCTTGGCGGCGTCCTGTCCTGTCCGCACGGCCCTCTTATCGCTCTTTCCCCGAAGTGTGAGGCTTGCGAACGTGTCGGCGCTGACAGCGGCCATTAAAATACCTCGGGTCTGCGGCACGTCCAGTTAGGGCCATTCCCAAAGAGAGAGAGAATGAGAGATAGAGATAGATATGGAAAGCCACGTACACATCCGTCGGATACCAAAGCCATTCCGTATGTTAAGAAAGTAAATACAGGCAGTCCCCCAGTTACAAACGAGGTCGGCTCTGAAGCCAAATGTGTATGTAGGTTGGAACGGGGACATTTGGGAAGTGTCGCTCCAGCGCTACCATCTACTGGTCCAGCTAAGGCTTTGGTGACATCTAGTGGCTTTTAGGAGGGATTTCCGAGACCAAAAACAAGGGATTCGTAGCACTCTAAAGGCCACCACACTCTTCACCCACAAAACCTGGCAATATCCCTGCCGCTTCCTCCGATCTGTTGGGGAGCACCAGCAAATCCGGCACTCGCTTCTCCTCTTGGGACGGCTGTGGACAAGAAGCACAGGAAGCATGGGTTAGGATGTCACAGATGCAGAAGGGAACATCAAGAGAGGAGGTCCTCTTTCCCCAAGGACTGGGAAGAAAAGGCCCTTGGCACCCAAGAAGAGGCTCCCATAGCACCCAAGGATCTCCAATGGCATCTAAGGGACTTCTGTGGTATCCAGGAGTCTTTCTGTGGCACCCAGGCAGCTCCAATGGCATCCAAGAGACTCCTATCGCACCCAAGACTTTCCCATGGCACCCAAGAACTTCTGATAAGCCCCAGGAGTCTCCAAGGGCACCCAAGAGCTTCATATGGCTGTCGCCTATGGCTGTCAATACTCTCCAATGGCACTCAAGAGGCCTTTCCTTGGATTGAAGTTCTTTCTATGGCACCCAAGAGCTTTCCATGGCACTCAAGAACTTCTAGTAGCTTCTAATAGCACTCAAGAGTCTCCCATGGCACCCAAGACTTTCCATGGCATCCAAGAGTTTCTGATAAGCCCCAGGAGTCTCCAGTGGCACCCAAGAGCTTCATATGCCCCTCAAGACTCGCCTATGGCTGTCAAGACTCTCCAATGGCACTCAATAGACCTTTCCTTGGATTGAAGGCCTTTCTATGGCACCCAAGAGCTTTCCATGGTACTCAAGAACTTTCCATGGAACTCAAGAACTTCTAATAGCTTCTAATAGCACCCCAGAGTCTCCTATGGCACACAAGGGCTTCTAATAGCACCCCAGAGTCTCCTATGGCACTCAAGGGCTTCTAATAGCACTCAGAAGTTCCCAATTGTACCCAAGGGTCTCCCTTAGTATTCTAGAGCTTTCCATGACACCCAAGACCTTTCCAATAGAACCCAAGAGCGTCTAATAGCACCCAGGAGTTTCCAATGGCACCTCAGAGCTTCAGATGCTCCCCAAGACTCGCCTATGGCTGTCAAGACTCTCCAATGGCACTCAAGAGACCTTTCCTTGGATTGAAGACCTTTTCATGGCATCCAAGAGCTTTCCATGGTACTCAAGAACTTTCTATGGTACTCAAGAACTTCTAATAGCTTCTAATAGCACTCAAGTGTCTCCGATGGCACTCAAGAGCTTCTAATAGCACCCAAGAGTCTCCTATGGCACCCAAGGGTCTCCTTGGCTACTCTAGAGCTTTCCATGACACCCAAGACCTTTCCAATAGAACTCAAGGGTGTCTGATAGCACCCAGAAGTCTCAAATGGCACCCAAGAGCTTCATATGCCCCTCAAGACTCGCCTATGGCTGTCAAGACTCTCCAATGGCACTCAAGAGAACTTTCCTTGGATTGAAGACCTTTTCATGGCACCCAAGAGCTTTCCATGGTACTCAAGAACTTTCTATGGCACTCAAGAACTTCTAATAGCTTCTAATAGCACTCAAGAGTCTCCCATGGCACTCAAGAGCTTCTAATAGCACCCCAGAGTCTCCTATGGCACTCAAGGGCTTCTAATAGCAGTCAGGAGTTCCCGGTGGCACCCAAGGGTCTCCTTTGGTACTCTAGAGCTTTCCATGGCACCCAAGACCTTTCCAATAGAACTCAAGAGCGTCTGATAGCACCCAGGAATCTCCAAGGGCACCCCAGACTTTTCTGTGGCACTCAAGAGCTTTCCATGGTACTCAAGAACTTTCTATGGCACTCAAGAACTTCTAATTGCTTCTAATAGCACTCAAGAGTCTCCCATGGCACTCAAGAGCTTCTAATAGCACCCCAAGAGTCTCCTATGGCACTCAGGAGCTTCTAATAGCAGTCAGGAGTTCCCAATGGCACCCAAGGGTCTCCTTGGGTACTCTAGAGCTTTCCATGGCACCCAAGACCTTTCCAAGAGAACTCAAGAGCATCTGATAGCACCCAGGAATCTCCAATGGCACCCCAGACCTTTCCATGGCACTCAAGAGTTTCCAATAGCACTCAAGACTGTCCATGGCACCCAGGAGTCTCCAATGGCACCCAAGAGCCTCCAATGGCACCCAGGAGCTTTCCATGGCACTCAGTGGCTTCTAATAGTGCCCAGGAGTCTCCTATGGTTCTCAAAAGTCTTCAGTGGCACCCAAGCCTTCACCACGGCACTCAAGAGCTTCTCGTAGCATTCAAGAGTCTCCAAAGACACCCAAGACTTTCCCATGGTATTCAAGGGCTTCCAATAGCACCCAAGACTCTCCAATGGCACCTAAGAGTGTCCTATGGCTATCAAGAGTTTCCAATGACACCTAGGAGCTTTCCATGGCCCCCAAGAACTTCTAATAGTACCCTAGAGTCTCCAATGGCTCTCAAGAGCCTCCAATGTCATCCAGGAGCTTTCCATGGTACTCAATGGCTTCGGATAGCTCCCAAAAGACTCCTGTGTTTCTCAAGAGTCTCCTATGGCACCCAAGATCTTCCCATGACACTCAAGAGCTTCCAGTAGCACTCAAGGCTCTTCAATGGCACCCAGGAGTTTTCCATGGACCTCAAGGGCTTCTGATAGCACCCAAGAGGCTCCAATGGCTTTCAAGAATCTCCAATGGCACGCAAGACTTTCCCATGGCACTCAAGGGCTTCTAATAGCACCCAAGAGTCTCCTATGGATCTCAATAATCTCCAATGGCACTCAAGAGCTTCTAATAGCACCCACGAGTCTCCTATGGCATCTAAGACCTTTCCATGGCATGCAAGAGCTTCCAATAGTACTCAAGACTCTCCAATGGCACCCAAGACTTTCCCATGGCACTCAAGAGCTTCTATTAGCACCCAGGACTCTCCAATAGCCCTCAGGAGTTCCCTATGGCTCTCAAGACTTTCCCATGGCTTCTGATAGTACTCAAGAGTCTCCTAGGGTTCCCAAGACACTCCTATGGTACTCGAGACTCTCCGATAGCTCTCAAGAGTCTCCAGCACTACAAGTCTCCAAGACTTTCCCATGGACTTCTGATAGCACCCAAGACTTTCCCATGGCATCGAAGTGCCAAAAGGAATTCCCAGCCCTTGTTGAGTCTGAGCATGGAGGGTCCACGTTCGTCCCATTGGGTGACCCACCTGGCGCACTGAGGTCCGGCTCCGCTCCCCCTTGGCCACTTCCTGGGAGAGGCCTGGCTTCCAGTGGCAGACCAGGCTGTCGTTCTGGACGCTGTGGTTCTTGCTCCCCAGGAGCCAGTAGGTCTGCATTTTCCCTTTGCCCTGCTCAGGAGGGAAACCGGGCGCCAATTGGTTATGATGGCTGAGAGAGTGCGACTCGCCCAAGCTCACTCAGTGCCTTTGAACCCTGTTTTCACCTTCACTTCGATCTCCCCTCTCGGCTCCATCTCATAAGCATTGTCCTCCAACAGTGCCAAATATGTGGCTGAACTGATATGAATCTTCTGAGCTGTGGATGACATTGAAAAATAAGAAATACCTTACTGTCATCCAAAGGGGGTAGAAATCCAATTTGTTGTTGTTGTTATTGTTGTTGTTGTTATGCTGCTAAACAAAACCTCCAGCTAGACAGAAGATGAGGCACTCAAGAGCTTTCCATAGTCTCAAATGGTCTCCAATGTCCCTCAAGGGCTTTCCATGGCATTCTAGGGTTTCTAATGCCATGGAAGTCAAGGACATCTAATAGCACCCAAGAGTCTCCTATGCCACCCAAGGGTTTCCAATGGATCTCAAGTGCTACTAATGCCACCAAAGAGTCTGTTATGGCTCTCAAGAGTCTCCAATATCACCCAAGATTTTCCCATGGAAGTCAAGGGCATCTAATAGAACCCAAGACTCTCCTATGGCACCCAAGGGTTTCCCATGGCACCCAAGAGCTTCTACGAACACCCAGGAGTCTCCAGTATCATCCAAGACTTTCCCATGGAAGTCAAGGGCATATAATTGCACCCAAGAGTCTCCTATGGCACCGAAGGGTTTCCTGTGGCACCCAAGAGCTTCTATGAACACCCAGAAGTCTCCAGAATCAACCAAGACTTTCCCATGGAAGTCAAGGGCTTCTAATAGCACCCAAGAGTCTCCAATGGCATCCATGACTTTCTCATGGAATACAAGAGCTCCTAATAGCTTCCTAGAGTCTCCTATGGCCTTCAAGAGTCTCCAATGGCATCCAAGACTTTCTCATGGAAGTCAACAGCTTCTGCTAGCACCCAAGAGTCTCTAGTGGTAATAAAGACTTTCCCATGGAACTCAAGGCATCTAATAGCACCCAAGAGTCTCCTATGGCCTTCAAGAGTCTCCAATGGCACCCATGACTTTCTCAGGAACACAAAAGCTTCTAATAGCATCCTAGAGTCTCCTATGGCCTTCAAGAGTTTCCAGTGGCATCCAAGTCTTTCTCATGGAAGTCAATAGCTTCTGATAGCACCCAAGAGTCTCCAATGGTAATCAAGACTTTCCCATGGAACTCAAAGGCATCTAATAGCACCCAAGAGTCTCCTATAGCCTTTAAGAGTCTCCAAAGGCATCCAAGACTTTCCCATGTAACACCCAATAGTACCCAAGAGCCGGCTATGACACCCAAGACTTTCCCATGGGGCACAAGAGCTTCTGATAGCACCCAAGTCATCTATGGCTCTCAAGAGTCTCTTGTGGCACTCAAAAGCTTTCCATGGCACTCAAGGGCTTCTAATAGCAACCAAGAGTATCCCATGGCATCCACCATTTCCCCATAGAACTCAAGAGCTTCTAATAACACCCAAGAGTCTCCAATGTCACCCAAAAGTATCCTATGACACCCAAGAATCTCCAATGGCATATACGATTTTCCTATGGAACTCAAGATCTTCTAACAGCACCCTAGAGTCTGCGATAGCGTTCAAGAGTCTCCTATGTCACCCAAGGGTTTCCCATGGCACCCAAGAGCTTCTATGAACACCCAGGAGTCTCCAGTATCACCCAAGACTTTCCCATGGAAGTCAAGGGCATCTAATAGCACCCAAGAGTCTCCTATGCCATCCAAGGGTTTCCCATGGCACCCAAGAGCTTCTATGAGCACTCAGGAGTCTCCAATATCACCCAAGACTTTCCCAAGGGCATCTGATAGCACCCAAGAGTCTCCTATGCCACCCAAGGGTTTCCCATGGCACCCAAGAGCTTCTACGAGCATCCAGGAGTCTGTAATATCACCCAAGACTTTCCCATGGAAGTCAAGGGCATCAGCGCGCGGCAGCCATGTTACTAACAGGAGCGGGACGCAGGGAGCATACAACGCCCTTGCTGTTCCAGCTCCACTGGCTGCCGATTTGCTACCGGGCCCAATTTAAGGTGCTGGTGTTATCCTACAAAGCCCTAAACGGTTCCGGCCCAAAATACCTTTCGGACCGCATCTTGGCCTATGAGCCCACGAGGACCTTGAGATCGTCTGGGGAGGCCCTTCTCTCGATCCCGCCTGCTTCACAGGCACGTCTGGCGGGGACGAGAGAAAGGGCCTTCTCGGTGGTGGCCCCCCGGCTGTGGAACGACCTCCCTGCTGACATCAGACAGGCGCCCTCCCTTCTGTCCTTCCGTAAGAGCCTGAAGACGTGGCTATTTGAGAAGGCATTTAACTGAGCGCTACGGCAACTGGTAATTGACAACTGGAACGGAATACGGATTACGATATTGGTTATGATTCTATGATGTGACGGAGTGGATTATTTAGTGTAACTAGATTATATTGTATTATTGTTGTATTGATTCCCTGTTTTGCCCTTTTTGTAAACTGTTTTTATATGTTGTGCACCGCCGCGAGTCGCCCTAGGGCTGAGAGCGGCGGTCAATAAATGCAGTAAAATAAATAAATAAATAATAAATAATAGCACCCAAGAGTCTCCTATGTCACCCAACAGTCTCCAACACACCCAGGAGCTTTGCATGACACTCAAGGACTTCTAATAGCACCCAAGACTCTCCTATGGCACCCAAGGGTTTCCCATGGCACCCAAGAGCTTCTATGAGCATCCAGGAGTCTCCAGTATCACCCAAGACTTTCCCATGGAAGTCAAGGGCATCTGATAGCACCCAAGAGTCTCCAACACACCCAGGAGCTTTGTATGACACTCAAGGACTTCTAATTGCACCCAAGAGTCTCCAATGGCACCCAAGACTTTCCTGTGAACACAAGAACACCCAAGTATCTCCTATGGCATCCAAGAGCTTCCCATGACACCCAAGACTTTCCCATGGAAGTCAAGAGCATCTAAGACTACCCAAGAGTCTTCCAAGTTGGAGGAACCATATCAAGGCTTTGACAAAAACGAGAACTTCTCTCGCTACTCACGTAAACTGGTGGACTCCATCCGAGAAGCGGTGTTGACCGTGTCCCCAAAGAGACAATAGCGGGGCATTTTGTGCCCCACAACGCCGGCGACACAAGGCCCTGCATCAAGAAGGAAGGAAGGCTGGTGTCAAGGGGCGGTTGGGGGATTTGGGGAGGGGTGGTCCCCAATATAGGTCTTTGGGCTCACCTGTGTGAACGCCGACCCGTAGCTCTAGTTTCCTGTCCGGCATGTGGGGGACCAAGACTTGTCGGACGGCGGCCACCAAGTCCAGGGCCATCTGGGCGATTTCATGGGCGTGCCTTTCGCCGTTGCGCTCGGGCAGGCCGCTCACCACCATGTAGGCATCTCCAATGGTCTCCACCTGTCAAAGGGAATCATCAGAGCTGGATGGGACCCTCAAAGGCCATCTAGTCAGACACCATTCATTCACTGCTGTCCAAAGCTTATATGTATATGTATATGAAGAACCTCCAAAACCTCTCTTGGTGGTAACTTTGGTCCTGGAGACTTGGATGCATTTCCTGTCTGTCTTCCTTATCTATTTTGTGCTGCCTTTCCCTTACTAAAATGGCCGTGGTTGGACTGGATGACCTCTAGGGTGCCCCTTCCCCAAAAGGTAGGGTTCATAAGGACCTTGTAGACATCGTAGGACTCGATCCGGGTGTCGAAGCAGACGTAGAGGCCGTTGAGCATCTCCACCACTTGCAGCGGGGAGCAGGACGCGGCGATGGCGGTGAAGCCCACCACGTCCGAGAAGAAGATGGTCACCTGTCCGGAAAGAGAGGAACAATCCCACTATATGTTCCGGGTTCGAAAGAGTTATTTCCTGTTAGATTGTGCAGCCCTTTGTTTGAAAGTAATGCTTTTGTTCAGCCACTTCAAAGCTCCCGGATTGAGCGGTGATGGCATGATCGTCAGCATAGATGAAACTCTCTGTCCCTTCTAGCAGTGGCTGGTCATTTGTGTAAATGATCACCATTTGTGTAAATGATCTCTTAATAATAATATTACCCTAATAATAATATAACAATTAGGAAAATATAATAATACGGATAATATATATTATAATATATAATAATAAGTATGATATAGTAATACTAATAATAACATTATAATGTAATATTATGATATAATCTGATATATAATAATAATGTTGTATTATAACATATTATATATTATATATATTTCAGCTTATGATATAGTACTATACATAATCATATAATATTATAATATATTATAATATATAATAATTAGTATGATATAGTAATACTAATAATAACATTATAATGTAATATTATGATATAATATGATATATAATAATAATGTATTATAACATATTATATATTATATATATTTCAGCTTATGATATAGTACGATATATAATCATATAATATACTGATAGTGTATTATATATATTGTGGTATACTAATATGGCGGTGATGGCACGATCGTCAGCATAGATGAAACTCTAAATGACTGCCACCTGCTTCTCTTAGATAATAATATAATAATAATTAGTATAATATAATAATACTAACAATATATATTATAATATATAATAATTAGTATGATATAATAATGCTAACAATAACATTGTAATGTAATAATATTAATATATTATATATAATATTAATAATGTTGCAATATAATATATTTTATATATACTGCAGCTTACGATATAGTACAATGCTATTAGTATTATAATATATATATATATATACACACACACACACACACACACATATACATATATATATTATGCTATACTAATATAGCAGTGATGGCATGATTGTCAGCATAGATGAGACTCTAAATGATTGCCACCTGCTTCTCTTAGATAATAATAATATAATAATTAGTATAATATAATAATGCTAACAATATATATAATATATAATAATTAGTGTGACATAATAATACTAATAATAAAATAATATAATAATTAGTAATATATAATAATGCTAACAATATATATATATATATATAATATAATGTATAATAATTAGTGTGACATAATAGTACTAATAATAAAATAATATAATAATTAGTAATATATAATAATGCTAACAATATATATATATAATATATAATGTATAATGTATAATAATTAGTGTGACATAATAGTACTAATAATAAATATTAATATAATAATTAGTATATAATAATGCTAACAATATATATAATAATATATAATATATAATGTATAATAATTAGTTTGACATAATAATACTGATAATAAAATAATATAATAATTAGTAATATATAATAATGCTAACAATATATATATAATATATAATGCATAATGTATAATAATTAGTGTGACATAATAATAATAATAATAATACTAATAATAATTAGTATATAATAATGCTAACAATATATATATAATATATAATGCATAATGTATAATAATTAGTGTGACATAATAATAATAATGCTAACAATATATATATAATAATATATAATGTATAATGTATAATAATTAGTGTGACATAATAGTACTAATAATAAAATAGTATAATAATTAGTATATAATAATGCTAACAATATATATATATATATAATGTATAATGTATAATAATTAGTGTGACATAATAGTACTAATAAAATATAATAATTAGTATAATATAATAATGCTAACAATATATAATAATATATAATATATAATAATTAGTGTGACAATAATACTGATGATAAAATAATATAATAATTAGTATAGTATAATAATGCTAACTATATATATATATATGATAGTATGACATAATACTAATAATAATATTGTAATGTAATAATACTAATATACTAATACTAATATATATATATATATATTATATATATAATATATTCAATATTAATAATTTGAAAGGGTGGGGTTCGTTGGGCTCTTTGTTGTCTTAATTACTTTCAGATGGTTTTCGTTTGGCGCCCGGCGACTCCCTTGAAGTCCCTAATTGCACTAATTATATGTAAAATACCCCATATAAAAGACCCAGGGTGCATCTAGTAGCCCGCAAGGCATCAAAGACGCATGGTACGGTCCAAGGGGGCGAGTGTCACTCACTTCCTTAGGCAGATCTTCAGCTAAGACTCGATATATGACTCTTCTGTATCGGGACTCGAACCCAGTGCCAGCCTTACCTGGTCGTAGCTTTCGGCCTCGACCTTCTCCCTCCTCCGCAGTTGATTGGCCACCGACTTTGGCAGCATCTGGTGCAGGAGGTCCTCTGCTAGGCGCCTCTCTCGTTGGAGGGCCTCCGTCCGTTGCTTGAGCCGCCAGGCGTAGCGCTGGACCCAGCCGGTCATCTCCGCGAAGGACAACGCCACCGCCGGGTAGAGCAACCCTGTCAGCAGCCACAGGCTGACCTTCAGGCTCACCAGGGACAACACCTCCCTGGACTTCCCGGAGAGCCTCTGGCGGGTCTTCTCCAGTAAACAGGATGTCAGGGAATCCAGGTCCTTCAAAGAGATGGGAAGGTCGCTCAGGCGTGGATTGGGAAAGTTGGGGGTCTTCTCCCTCGTTGAGGAACGTTGGGTGCTTTGATTTGGGATGGAAGGGCTGGGAGTCTTTGAGGAATCTTGGGTGGAAACATTGAAGTTCTTTGAGGAGCTTTGGGTGGAGAAGAGAAGGTCGCTCAGACGTTGGGTGGAAAAGTTGAGGTTCTCCCTCTTTGAGGACCTTTGGATGTAGAAAATGTTGCTTTGATTTGGGGTGGAAAGGTTGAGATTCTTCTCCATCTTCAAGGGATGTTGGGTGGAAGAGTTGAGGCTCTCCCTCTTTGAGGAACTTTGGATGGAGAAAAGGTTGCTTTGATTTGGGGTGGAAAGGTTAAGATTCTTCTCCACCTTCAAGGGATGTTGGGTGGAAGAGTTGAGGCTCTCCCTCTTTGAGGAACTTTGGGTGGAGAAGAGAAGGTCGCTCAGGCGTTGGGTGGAAAAGTTGAGGTTCTCCCTCTTTGAGGAACTTTGGGTGGGGAAGAGAAGGTTGCTCAGATGCTGGGTGGAAAAGTTGAGGTTCTCCCTCTTTGAGGAACTTTGGGTGGAGAAGAGAAGGTCGCTCAGACGTTGGGTGGAAAAGTTGAGGTTCTCCCTCTTTGAGGAACTTTGGGTGGAGAAGAGAAGGTCGCTCAGATGTTGGGTGGAAAAGTTGAGGTTCTCCCTCTTTGAGGAACTTTGGATGGAGAAAAGGTTGTTTAGATTTGGGGTGGAAAAGTTGAGACTCTTCTCTATCTTCAAGGAATGTTGGGTGGAATTGAGGCTCTCCCTCTTTGAGGAACTTTGGGTGGAGAAGAGAAGTTCGTTCAGATATTGGGTGGAAAAGTTGAGGTTCTCCCTCTTTGAGGAACTTTGGATGGAGAAATGGTTGCTTTGCTTTGGGATGGAAAGGTTGAGATTCTTCTCCATCTTCAAGGAATGTTGGGTGGAAGAGTTGAGGTTCTCCCTCTTTGAGGAACTTTGGATGGAGAAAAGGTTGCTTTGATTTGGGGTGGAAAGGTTGAGATTCTTCTCCATCTTCAAGGGATGTTGGGTGGAAGAGTTGAGGCTCTCCATCTTGGAAGAAAAGTTGAGGTTCTTCTCCATCTTTGTGGATCTTTGGGCGAAGAAGAGAAGGTTACTTTGATTCCGGGTGGAAAAGTTAAGGTTCTTCTCCATCTTGGAGGAATTTTGGGTGGAAAAGTTAAGGCTCTTCTCCATCTTTGAGGAATCTTGAGTGGAGAAGAGAAGGCTACTTTGATTTGGGGTGAAAAAGTGGAGGTTCTTCCTCTTCAAGGGTTGTTGGATGGAAAATGTGAGGTTTTTCCCTATCTTTGAGGAATGTTGGGTGGGAAAGTTGAGGATCTTCTTCATCTTCGAGGAACGTTGGGTGGAGAAGCGAAGGTTGCTTTGTTTTGGGGTGGAAATGTTGATGTTCTTCTCCATCTCTGAAAAGCTTTGAGTGGAAAAGTTGAGGTTCTTCTCCACCTTTGAGGAACGTTGAGTGGAGAAGAGAAGGCTGAGGTTCTTCTCCACCCCGCATTCCTGGACGCTTTCTGATGAGCCGATGATGTACGGATTGAAGACCTGCAGCCATAGGCCTTGAGCATCTTCCATTGATTCCAACATTGTGCCTTGGATCCAGAGGAGCAACCTTAGCAGGGCCACATCGGCCCAGTCGGGGTTGGATCCCATTGCATTGAGGTCTTCCTGAGAATGTCTGAACTCTTCTAGAAGTTCCAGAACGATCTCAGGCCTTCCCGGGACCTTCTCAGACGTCAGTGTGGAATCCCACCTCTCTAACAACGTCTCCACGAAGACGTGGCAATCAACATTTCGACAGTGGTGGGGCTTCTCTTTGCAGGAGATGGCTAACTCCTCCAGCATCAACACCCTGCCTTTTCCGCCCTTCTGCATCATCTGGTCCCGGATGAGTCGGATCATGGGGACGAGAAGAAGGTCTTGACATGATGGAAGGCCACCTAGAGCCTCCTCTGCATTTCTCCAGGATTGCAAAGTCTGGCTTAAATCCATATATATATTCCCCATTAAGGTGAACATGGAGAGTGCGCAAGCGGCCAGGATCCGTCCCACCACCTTGGTGGAACCACAACACCTGGAGAAGGTAGGAGACATTCCCTCTATCATCTCCTTGACCAACCTTCTACATTTCGTTCTCTTTACATGCATCAAGTTACATGTTAATCTCACCTTTAGAACAGCCAATAACAATGACAGTAATTCCTCATGACCATTTTCCGTTGTCTCCATCTTATCTCATCTTGAATTAATAGATGGAAATTTAATTTTAATACATATATTATTATTATCTGATCCATCCATTTCATCAAACATCAGCCTTTTTAATACTTTTGATTCTAGGACAGTTTTTAGAATGATCCTCTCAATAGAAAAGTAATTATAATTTATTCCATTTATTCTCTTAATATTTTCCATTATTTTTCTTAATATTTTCTATTCCTTTCAAAGTTTCCATTTATTATCTCAATACTTTCCAATTATTAATATCTACTAATCCTCTTAATCTTTTCCAATTAATATTTTCTATTAATTCTCTTAATATTTTTCATTATTTGTCCTAATTTTTTTATTCTCTTAATACTTTCTCTTTTTTACTTATTCTCTTAATACTTTCTATTTTCCTCTTAATATTTTCCATTATTTCTCCATTTTGTTTATTCCTAATATCTTCCATTTGCCATTTTTTCTTAATCTTTTCCAATTAATATTTTCTATTTTTCTCTTAATATTTTCTATTTTTTCCTTAACATTTTCCAATTAATATTTTCTATTTTTCTCTTAATATTTTCTATTGTTTTCCTTAATATTTTCCAATATTTTCTATTTTTCTCTTAATATTTTCCATTATTTCTATATTTTGTTTATTCCTAATATCTTCCATTATCTATTTTTTCCTTAATAATTTCCAATTAATATTTTCTATTTTTCTCTTAACATTTTCTATTTTTTCTTAACATTTTCCAATTAATATTTTCTATTTTTCACTTAATATTTTCTATTGTTTTCCTTAATATTTTCCAATTTATATTTTCTCTTTTTCTCCTATTTTTCCTTAATATTTTCCAATTAATATTTTCTATTTTTCATTTAATATTTTCTATTGTTTTCCTTAATATTTTCCAATTTATATTTTCCATTTTTTCTGCTAATATTTTCTATTTTTCCTTAATATTTTCCAATTAATATTTTCTATTTTTCTCTTAATATTTTCTATTGTTTTCCTTAACATTTTCCAATTAATATTTTCTATTTTTCTCTTAATATTTTCTATTGTTTTCCTTAACATTTTCCAATTAATATTTTCTATTTTTCTCTTAATATTTTCTATTGTTTTCCTTAACATTTTCCAATTAATATTTTCTATTTTTCTCTTAATATTTTCTATTGTTTTCCTTAACATTTTCCAATTAATATTTTCTATTTTTCTCTTAATATTTTCTATTTTTTCCTTAACATTTTCCAATTAATATTTTCTATTTTTCTCTTAATATTTTCTATTGTTTTCCTTAACATTTTCCAATTAATATTTTCTATTTTTCTCTTAATATTTTCTATTGTTTCCCTTAACATTTTCCAATTAATATTTTCTATTTTTCTCTTAATATTTTCTATTTTTTCCCTTAATATTTTCCAATTAATAGTTTCTATTTTTCTCTTAATATTTTCAATTATTTCTCTTAATATTTTCCCCTTGTAATTTTATTTTCTGTCGTCTGATCGTTTGAGATCATGTATGTGTGTGTGTGTGTATATATATATAAAAATTCATATTCAAAGTAAGTGTACTTACTTTTTGGTTTTCCAGGAAGCATCTTCTTCTTTTCCTTCCATGTTTGGGTCTCCTTTTCCGGGTTTCGGTTTGGCCGGATCGGAGGAAACAAAGACTCGGGACATTGATCTTTTCTCGATTTCAATGGAGAGGAAATAAATATATATTCAAAAGCTCTTTGAGATGAGACACGGCCGCCTTTTGAGCCAATCATAGAAGGCTGTGGGCGCCCTTGAGATCATCCAGACTCCCAAATGGCTGAGAGAAGGGATGTTTTTGCTCAATGTAAATACAAAGATTGCGTACCAAAGCACGCTTCCGGTATACCGTATCGATGCAACCTAAATGCCAAACGATTAACTTTTAATTTACATGTTATTAGTATTGGTGTTATAAGTATATAATAATATAATCTATGTATGTGTATAAATATATGTATATACAATATAATCTATATATCTATATTATATAATATTATATAATACATAGATTATTTTTAAACTAATATTATATATAATATATATAGATTATATTGTATATACATATATTTATACACATACATACATGTGTATGTATAATTTATATATATTATATATAGTATTTGTATATAATATAATTTATGTATTATATATTTTATATAATATATAATATATATGTATATATAATCTATATATATTATATATATGTATATGTATATAATATATGTATTATATATTTAATATAATATATAATAAATATCTAATATATATTTAATATAATATTATATATTTAATACTTGTATATAACACATGCATTTTATACATGGGTATATCATTATGTATTATATATTAATATATGTGCATATATTTGTAATATATATATAAAATGTTGAATATATATTTAATACCTACTATTATATTAAATATATATTCAACATTATATGTATATTACAAATGTTTAAATATATACTATTAAAGTGGATATACTATAATAGTATATACTATTATATATACATTAATATATATAATAGTATATACTATTATATATACATTAATATATATAATAGTATATACTATTATATATATTAATATATATAATGTATTATATATATATTAATATATATATACATATATAACATAACATTGTATATGCGTTTAATATATTAAATAAAATATTATATATTTAGTATGGATATTGAACATATGTCCACTTTGTGCTGGTCAGCGACCGTAATAAATGTTTGTTTTCTATTGTATATATAATGTTTAATATATATTTAATATAATAGTATGTATTTAATGTGTATGTAATATAACATGTGTATTTTATATATGTTATATAACGTAGCATTATATACAGGGGCGGCTCGTCCATTACGCGAAGTAAGCGGTCGCAGAATACTTTTTTTTGCCAGGGGTGCAGAGGCGCCTCTGTAAATGCCCCTCGACCGCCACTTGAGGAGCGCCCCCTCAGCTCACAACAGCCCTAGCAGTCCGGGGGGAGCCTCGGCTTTCTTGCCTTCGCTGCCGGGCGATCCTCTTCCCAAAGGGGCCGGGCCCTTGAGCCTCGCCTAGCCCCTCTCGTTCCTGCTCCACCCGGCCACTGGGTGCGCGAGCAGAGCCGGCGCTCAATCGTTCTCCGCGTTCGATCCCTTCCCCATGACCGGCTCCCTTTCCCGATCCCCCGGCGCTCCACCCGCCTCCTCTCCTCTCCCCAATCTGCGGGTGGGCCAAGGGGCGAAGCCTCCACGCCTGGGCCGCTTCGGGTCTGAAGGCGTGTCTGAAGACCCCAGCATGCGCACTAAAAGTCGCCTCTTCTCCTGACTTTCTCTTCAGCCATTGGGACCAAGAGAGAGAGAGAGAGAGAGAGCCCCTCCGGCTGGAGGTATCTCCCACCTCCGCTCCCTCCTTTGTTTTTGTGCCTAC